CTCATCTGGACAGATTTGGAGGGTTTTGCTTTGTAACTGAACCAGCTCCCAAATGGTCTCACTCATTCTTTCATTCACTCCACGAATGTTTATTAAGCTGCCAGTGGAGCAAGGTGTGGTCCTCCCTCCCACGGCCTGTGCTGCAGAGTGGGGAGGGCGGGCACACCACCACCAGGATCCAGTCCGTTGTCGTGAACAGTTATCGGGCCTGTTATGGGAGCAGATACCTGACCTAAGTGTGTGTGACTGGGGTGGGGGTGGGGGTCCTTACAAAGCTTCCTTCAAAGAGGCGACAAGAAAAACTGAGGTTGAAAGACTCAACAAGACTCCTCCTTTCCCAAGTCCCCAGCATCAACGCCACAGTGAAGGGACAAGCCAGCCCATCAGGTGCCTCTTGATTGGATGCACTGAAAAGGGTATGAGTCACTTCCATGCTGTTCCTGCCCTGGAGGCATGACGTGAATCTAATCACGAGGGAACAGCACACAAGCTCTGGCTGAGGACACTCAGCAAAGGAGGAGCCTGTGCATCTTAAAAATGCCGTGTCCCGGAAGATTGAGGAAATGTTTTGGATTAAAGAGACTAAGGAGACATGCCAACTAAATGCAACACATGGTCTGCAACAGGCTCCTGAACCAGGAAAAAATAGCTGTGAGGGGCATTACTGAGACAGCTGGTGAAATGTGGCTGTAGCCTGTGGAATAGAAAACATTGCATTTGTGTGAAACTTGCTGATTCTGATAACTGTCACTTGGTTTTGTCAGATACTGTTCTTAGATCAACTGTGGTGTTTAGGGAAAAAGGGGCATAATGTCTGCAATTCACTTGCAAATAGGTCAGAAAAAAATGTGCGTGTGTGTATATGTATGACAAAATGTTAACACCGACCTGGGTGAAGGCGAGGGGTACAGGGAATTTCTTTGTACTACTTTGCAACTTTTGAGTAAGTTTAAAATTGTATCAAAATTAAAGGTGACCCCCCAAGCACCAGATAGGGGCAGGGAGTCATTACGGCCCCTCTGGGGTGAGGTTGGGCTGTGCGAGGGTGGGAGGTGGCAGCTGTGTGGTGTGCCCAGGAACCGAGCGGTTCGGCTGGGACAGCGGTCCAAAGCAGCGGCTGGGAGAGGTCAGGCTGAAAGGTTTGGCAGAGGCAGACAGGAGCGGGCTGGGTGTGTGACCTGCAGGCTGTGGGGGCTGTTGAAAGGTTTGAGCAGAGGAGCAGCATGGGATCAGGCCATCTTAAGGTCATCGCAGTGGCTTCGAAAGGACAAGATGGCACAGGAGGCTGGGGCCAAGCTCTCACAACACTTGAAGCCACGCCAGCACCACCACGTACAAGGCCTGCACATCCACCAAGTGCTTCCTTAACGCACAGGGGCTGAGCTAAGGGCTTCTGTGCATCCAGGATGAGGGCTGGCAGCAGGGCCCTGCCTGCCTCAGTGCCTGGGGGACAGGGAGTTGGACTTAGCAGACAACTGTTAACAGGTAGGATGAAGGAGAACCTGTAAAAAAGGAATTTTCCCGTGGAAGTGATGGCACCAACCGAGAAAGCGACCATCTCTGAGAAAACAGTTCAGGGAAGGAAGAGGTCCAGTTCCCATGTGAAGTTGGAGGGGCCTTTGTGACACTGGGTGTTTGGCGCATGTATCTCAGGCTCCCAGGAGAGACCAGGAGCTATGGCAGTGCTGGTGGGCAGGACCGTTGGGAGTTGAACTGCCTGTGTCCAAACTCTGGGGGGCCTTAGTCTCTCTTACTAGATGGGAGAGCACAGGCAAGTTTGTCGTTGGTGCTTCCAGTTCCTCAGCTGTGACATGGTGGCACCAGAACTTAATTCAGGCAGGGCTGGTTGCTCAGAGAATGAAATGAGCACAAGTAAAAGCCCCCCAGATCAGAAGAAATGCTCAAAAGGGTCAACCACCACCACCACTTCCAGTTGCCCTCTCAGGTATCCACAAGAGGATAGAAAACAATAGAAAGGGGCAAGTGGACCAGCCCCACCTGCACAGGGAAAAGGCTACTCTGGCCCAGGCTCTCTACCACGGGCTGTGGTGCATGTGCGCCCAGCCATGGGCTTCCCAGGGTGGGCACAGCAGACCAGCTCCCTGTGTTGCAGCCGGGCAGTGCCTTCAGGCTCCTGGGGAATGTTTTACACGAGGGCTTTGTGAGAACCATGCAGATTCCTGGTCACAGCTCAGGGCTAGAGTCAGAAGATCTGGGGATGGTGCCCAGATCTTTGCACTTCAAACACGAGTTCTGCCCCTTTTCCCCTCACCCCACTCTCCCTCATCTTATGGGTGATTAAGTTTCTGAATGCTGCCTCAGACCAAGAAATAATTGTTGTAGTAATGCATTTTGCAGGGAGAACTAATGGCAATTATTTTAATTCTGTTATCTCAAATAATCATTTGCACCCTTTAATTTATATAATTCAATGAAATATGTAAGATTTTGTGTGGCCAACTACAAGAAGTTTCTTTGGGTTCAAGAAAGAACGGCTGAGCTGTCCAGTAATGGGACAGGCCGCCCAGCCAGGTGGAGGTGTCCTCATGGGGGCCCTACATGGGGCAAAACGCTGCACTCATTCTTAAAAAGATTCTTTCCCACTCTAATATTATACGAGGCTCCACTTAGTACAGAAAAAAAATAAAAGGATCACACCTTTTAACAGAATTTCAGCTCTAGAAAAAAAAACAATGATTTTTAGTTGACTGTCAAACAACTACCATATTTTGCTGTATATAATGCGCACACACCATGGCTATAAAAACCCCATGTATAATGAACACAGAAACACGGGTGTACATTTTACATGGCAAAACTGGTACTTCTTATGCAATGAGGAACAGAAATATTCCTCAAAGTGAAATTAGGTTTTTCTGGGCTAGGCACTGTGATCAAGTCTTTTTTTTTTTTTTAGGTGCAATAGCTTTAAGAATTCAACATAACACATTTGACATATAGTGAGGGCTTTATATTCACTGAATATTAGTAACAACTCTAATCATTATTATCCACATTTTACAGATGAAGAAATAGGCTAAGACCAGTTAGATGACTAGCTAAGGTTACTGTGCCAGTAATTGGGTGAGTTTTGATTCAAACGAGTGCTAATTCCAACAGCAATTAACCATTATACTGTAACTGATACCCAGTGAATGAAACATTTAATTCACCCAAAATAAACATGATGGAGGGGGCTGTTGGCTTTGTCTATCCTCTGCGACAATATTTCTCTCTCAGGAGGCAAGATAAATCTAGAGAACACATCTTGAGTGTGGTTGGCTAGCTCTCAGGTGATCCACAGGGGGCCTTTTACAGCATTCAACTCTCTACTGACATGATCATTCAAATAACTTAAAAGCCCAAGCCATTTCATTGGTGTCTTAGCAAAAGCAGAATTTTTCACTTTGATGTCTACTTTTGGGGTGTGAGGCTGCCCACAGGCACGCATCAGCTGGCTGGAGTAAGTAGTACCTTCTTTCCAATCCTTTTGTACCTTTCTGGCAACACTGGGAATGAGTTCACTGCTATACCACTCATGAGCAGCAGAGGGCAGCAAAAAACACTCATGATGATGGTTATCAGGGGAGCCTGGGAACAACTGCTATGCTGTTAAAATGCTTTCAAATCATTTGGAGAATTCTTGCAGCATAGTACTACAGGTTTAAAATGAAAATGAGCTTCTTTAGTTGTTTCAACTTGGTATATAATTTGCTAAGCTTAGCATTATGCATTTAAGAAAAAAAATATTTAAGGTTGTATTTTTAACATTGTAAGATGCACCAGACCATTAGACACAACTATGTTTTAGAAGAAAACAGGAAAAAAAATTTTGAAGCAAAAATTGTGGTAAAATATTTAATAACATAAATAACATAGGCCACCACCTCCCCCCCCCGGCCGTGAGCCAGGTAAGCTACATTCGGACTATAAGACACACCGTTTCCCCCTTCCACTTGGGGGGGGGGGGGTAATGTGTCTTACAGTCTGCAAAATATGGTAATTCACTCACAATTCCAGAACTAACTTTTCGTTTTGAAGCTCTAGCTGTTTCACTTCCTTTTCTAGAACTCACCTAAGGGACTGCACACGAACCACACAGCAGCTCCTGGGTGCTTGCTGGCCAGTTTCCTTGGTTTCATTTTGGTAAGTGCTTCCTAGTGGAGCTGCAATGTAAAACCAAGGTGTCCCCCACCCCGCCATCTGCATGAGCCTGCAAGGTTTGTGCATTATGTGCAAAGGAGACTTGGAATATGTGAACCCAGAGCATGACAATTCCAGAACTTCCATATTACGAGCAGCAGTATCACGTGAAGGCTCTGCACAGATGGGCCTGTGTTCCAGTTCTCAGATTTGCCACGTGACAGAGTGACTTTGTTATTTAACTTGGGCATTCAATTTCCTCATCTACAAAATGAGCATGTGTACCCACTTCACTGTATGGTTGTGATAATTAAATAATTCATATTGATGAAACATCTACCATGTGCCACGTACTGTTTTTAGAGTTGGCGTTCTGGAAACTTAAAATTATTGCTGTCATGAAGCTTATATTTCAAGTGTGACAGGTAATGGAAGGACAAAGTCATTTCAGACAGTGGTGAGGGGATAAGGACAACAGGCAGAGTGGTATGAGGCAGGTGTTCCCCTTCAATGAGGTAAGCACATCAGGGAAGGCTAACGAACAAGCAAGGGATGATGCGGGGACTGAGACGGGGGCAGAGGGACTCACTGCCAAGGCCAGGGCAGGAAGAAAGCAGAGGGGAGGCTAGAGGTGGATGAGGACCAAGATCCCAGAGAGCCTATGGATGATGGTGGGTGGAGACTCCAAGTTCACACAAGTGCAAGGTGAGGCCAGATGAGGGTTTCCAGCCAGACAGGGGCAGAGGGACCAGGAGGCAAAGGGTGGGACAGGAGTAGCAGCACCGAGCACACTGCCTGGCACAAAACCAGCTGTAGTTAAAGGTGGCATATTAATTTAAAAAAAAAATAGTGGATGGCTTGCTTCTCAGCCTTGGACTAACATCAAGTATAGTATCTGTTCTTATTAATTTAATATTTGATATGTGCTTTATCTGAGGACAATATATTAAATGGATTTTTGGAACCAGGAGATGGAATAGGACATTGCTCCATCCACTCCACACATCAACCTGGTAATGCAGCACTTCCAGGAATAATAAGAACAACAACGACAACTGATGAGAAGCTTGGGTTCCTTTAAAGAAAAAACAATTTCACCAATTTTTCAGCGAGTATTTTCCAGCAATAATCTACTTTGATTTTCTTTGAATACGTAGTGACAAGACACTCAAGTTTTAAAAATGGGCTCATTTTCTTTTTGTTACAGAAAAGCTGCCCACAAGCACCGTGGCTATCACACTCATTGTAAAAGGCTCAGATAAATTTAACATTTACATTTACTTCTTCCATTATAAAATATATGTATATTACAAACACTTTAAAACAAAAAAATCCACCACCTCACCACAAAAACTGCTTTAATTTAGCATTTTGGATATTTCTTTTCAGATTCTGGACAGACCTAAAATTTACTTAATCCTCAGCACTTTAAGCATTGTAGAGAAGCTATCTGTATGATGGTTCTTGCTATCCTAATTAAATACTTTTGATTCTTCCTATTCCCTTTCAGCAGAAAACCGAGAACATCACATAGTTAAAAAGACTAACTCTCCAGTTTTCACAGACCTTAATCAAGTTATTTTTTTCTAAGTCAGTTCTCAAATCTTGTAAAGAAGTGTCTAGGTACTACTGAACTCACTGACACACAGACAAAGAAGTTAAATCAAAGGCCTACCTCTGCTCACTTAAAAATGTGGGAATGGTCAGAGCACTCAGTCTCCATGACTACTGGGAATGCAAACTCTCGCTACGTGTCTTACGATCCTCACCTGAAAAGTCAACTAGCTGACAGCTGAAGAGCATATTTAAAATCACCTTAATCATCTCTGTTAAATAACAAAACTTTGTAACTTAAAATACTTAAATCTTATATGCAGAAAATGTGTGAAGCTTTTTTTACAAATTCCAGGAGATAATTTAAACTATTTCAGGTTTTTCTTTTTTGCTTAGTGTTTTAGATTTCCTTTGTGCCTCTCATCTTTTAAGATGTAGGAAAAAAGACCCAACTGTAACATGCATTGGCATTTTAGGAAACGGTCCGTATTGCACACAAATAATTTGAAGATCACCTTTAATTAAGGGCTGTTTAAATAAAAAAGATGCATTTGCCAGGACAGCAGACCAGTTTAAGTGTTAGGTCAGACTGATGCAAGTAACCAAGAAAAAAAGCTTCTCTTGGGTTTACCAGACTGTGATTTCCACATACTTCTTCAGTAGGGGCATTTCTCAAAGCTGCACAAGAGTTTTATGGATTCACAACCCTCACTTTCACTAGCCAGGTAACATTCTCAGTTGACAGATAAAAGCTCTCACATCGCACAAGTTTTGTCATAAGCAGCTTGATGAAAACACACTGCTAGAAACCACAGTATAAGTGTGTAAGAATTAGAATTAAAATAGCAAACCCAAGACCTGAGGATTTTAGGAAAATATATAAAAAGATAAATTTTGAACCAGAGGTACATTGCCTATACTGAATGATTTCAGGGTTTTTGTTTTTTTTTTTAAGATTTCATTTATTTTTAGAGAGAGGGGAAGGGAAGGAGGAAGAAGGAGAAACATCGAAGTGTGAGAGACACATCAATTGGTTGCCTCCCACACACCTCCAATTGGGGACCTGGCCCACAACCCAGGCATGTGTCCTGAATGGGAATCGAACCAGCAACCTCTCAGTTCATAGGCCGGCACTAAATCCACTGACCCACACCAGCCAGGGCTCATTTTAGTTTTTTTTGAAGTTCTTAAGTTGTTAGATTTTGATATGGCATAACTGAAATCTAATTCATGGCAGAACTAAAATTAGTAAGAATTTTTAAAATTCTTACATTTAAGTCACCATACTTGGGACTCTTAAGATTTAATGCTGGATAAATGGGAGAATCCTGTTAGTGAAGAATGAAGAAGTTAGACTGGAGAGGCCTATGGAGGGAATAAACATCTGTGATTTGTTGGTTTGGGGTTACTTTAGTCTCCTCAAGGCTGTTTCAACCTGGGTAAGGGGTTACCCAGAGTAGTTGTGAGAATTTAATGAAAACGCATGTGGAAGAGCAGAGGCCTGATACACAGCTGCTCAATCTAAATACTATTCTTGACTGAAGCATTTCTCACTGCTTTCTAAAATGCCACAAGGTAAACACGATGGGTGACCAAACGGATTTCTGAAAAACAACAAATAAGACTGATCCTCTTTGGGTGGCTTACACACACACAGCATCCCCAAGTGTTGTGAAAAAGATAACTCTCAGTTGGGTGTGCAGGTTCTAACAGATTTACTACAGTAACAAGAACTCCCCGTGGTAACCCTATTACTCTGGTTCTGGTTCATTATTAAACCCACAGAACTAGCCACATGTCCATCTTAAAATTTACACTTTTGTTAAAATAGAACACTGTTTAACTTTTCTATTCAATAGAATTTAACTGCCACTCCATGTCAAAGTCAAAAAAGTACCACATACACTTGCTCCCCACATGCTTCACGGAATGTTACGGCAATATGGTGCTTTTACACGAGCAGCAGCAATCACTCACTCACACGGCTTCCTACGTCCTGGACAACGTTCTAAGCAGCCCAAACTAAAGCCCAGTGAGGTTATTCACCTCCAACTAAGGGAAGGCAGCCTGACATAAGTTCATTCTAGACCCTAGTTCTTTTTTCTGCTGCTGAGTAAACTAAAGGAAGAATCATTTAACATTGTCTTAGGTAAGAGTATATAGGTAACAGAATCAGAAAATTTAGAACTCACACTTCAAGTACCTCTTAATTGAAATTTAAAAAGCACACACCAAGACTCCACAGATAAGCTGCTTCTGAAGGTCACCATGGGTTAGAGGGCTGACCACATCCTAACCCCCAAGCTAAGCACACTCTCTCTTCATGCAACCTCACAGAACTAGCAATGGGCTTGGGTAGCACCAGAAATACTTCTGAACATAACGTGTGGATGAATGGCCTATGAAAACTGGCCCACATCATCTTGTTCTTTCTCTGAAACCTATGATAGGGTTTCCACCTTAACAATGTGAACTAGAAGCTGGGAATAAAAAGCAAACAAAAGAAAAGACAGGGTCCGGGGGTCCTGGAGTCGAGCAGAAGGGGGACAGATATGTCAACAAGATGAAAGATTGTCACAGGTGCCCCAACAGAAATCTATGTAAGGGACAGCAGGGGAATAAAAAAAGCCCTAGTCAAATCATCTTTGGCTATGATTTGTCAGTTTTAATTTATAATCCCAGTTCTATCACTGCCTGGTCATATAACCTGAAGAACAGGTACTTCACTCCCATCTCTTAACATGAGGATCAATCTTTCAACCCTTTACAACTTGCAAATACAATCAAACTACGAAATCTATTTTGAAGAAAATGTTTTTAAAAACTATAATTTTATTAATCAAGGGGACATTTAAAGAGATGTGTCATTGTTAGAGATTATCCAGGGTATTGTGGATAATTATATAAAAATGCAGTATCAAATTCCCCCAAATTATATATACATACCATAAACATTAACACACAAATATATTTATAACAAAGAAGACTCTTTGGAGTTTAACTGTGCTCTGGAATTGAGTGGCATTTATGCACTATTGTACAGTACGGCCAGCGTGTACATACAGTATATTCCATACTGGCATTATGAAATTTCTGATTGCTGAATTCTGGAAAACCAAGTATTTGGAAGCTGCCCAAATAAAATTTTCATTTTTATTTCGGCTTTATAAAATTTTCATTTAAAAAAAAATCCATCTTAAACATTATGTAGGAGAAAGAACATGTGAGTTTTAGAATAAGAAAGCTCTGAATCCATATTCAATGTGTAACCCTGAGCAACCTACTTAAAAAGTTTTGGTTTTTTCCACCTACAAAATGAGAACAATACCACCTTCCTTCAGTGAACTGTTGTGAAGGTTTATAAGATGAATTAAATTTCAACAGAAAAACACTGCATGGCTGATGCTTAAGAAATAAGTCTCTTTCCTACTGCCTTAAAAAAAGGCAGCTAAAACCTTATTCTTTTTGAAAAAAAATTATTTATTTATCTTTAGAGGGGAAGGGAAGGAAAGAAGGAGAGAAACATCAATGTATGGTTGCCTCTCGAGTCCCCTGCTGGGAACTGGCTTGCAACCCAGGCATGTGCCCTGACTGGGAATCGAACTGCAATCATGTGGTTCGCAGGCCTGCACTCAATCCACTGAGCTACACCAGCCAGGGCACATGCCCTTATTCTTAAATAATCTCTAAATCCAAAAAAAGAAAAGCTCCAGACCTTTAGGTTACATAATTAGTTACTAGAGAAGTCCAGGTTTTTATATAAATAAAAAAAGGATAAAATCATGCAAATACTAATTAGTAAAGTACATAAGAGTCCTATAAAAACCATTATTTTGCTTTGTAAGTTAGTTCTTCAGTTTTGTTCATCCCTCCTAACATCCTCTGATGATGTCCTAACATTCCACTTATACTGGTGTCAGCTTGCTCCTCAGTAAGCTGGAGATACAGTTCAAGAAAAAAAAAAAAAGGATATTATTCAATAAAATCCAAAGAAATTTATTAATTTTACGGCTATAAATGGTGCTGTCCCAAACTGGTAATTACTTCAGGTGTATCAGAGGTGTTTTAAAATTTAAGCTAACATCTAATTTTGGAACTAAAATAAAGACGGAAAAATCAAGAGTGTACCCTATAAAAATCTTAATAAAAGACGATTGCCACGTTCATCATTAAAAAAAAAGTCATTAAACGCACTAAACAAGTAAATTTTCCTTCATTCCAAGGGTATGATACCATTGTACAACCAAAGATAAGTGCTACATAACAGCCTTGGATATTATATTACATTTATCTACTACTGTAGTTCCAAAATAACTCAAGTCATTAAAGGAACGTTTTGACATCACACTACCATTTACCATATTTTTCAGATTATAAGACGCACTTGAAAAAAAAAAAACAAACAAAAAAAAAAACATTTTTTGCTTCAAAAAAGTTTCCCGTATTTTCCCCCTCTAAAACCCAGGTGTGTCTGGGGTCCACACCGTAAGACA